GTGTCTGAGGAGTCACTGCCTCCGCCCCTCCCCAGCTTCCATAGCCTCCTGCTCTCCAACCACACACACAGGAAACCTGGCTGTAATCCCAACTGAACTGTTCCCCAAGCAGCATTAAGAAAGAACAATCTGTTTTGCAAGCAGCAGCAGAGAGGGCCCGTTATCCCACAGGCAGTTGGACCTCACCTTAGGGGTGAGTTGGAGGCACATTCTCAAAGGACTATAATCCTGAAATGCAGCAGTCACAGCAATGCCCTCCAGAGGCCACCCCCAGGACGGGGAGCTAGCGGGTAACTTATGGGACAAAGCTGGTTTGGAAGAGCTCCTTGGGCGACATATTCTCCTTCTGGTTACTTGGCAGGTTGGGAAGCCCTTTTAGCCCCAAATATACCTGGGCCAGACAAGTAAGGCCTACATGAGGGATCGGCAGAGGTACAGTGGGTGATCCCGGTTGGGTCATTCGCTGACTGGAAACATTGCAAAGTCACAGAGCATCTCAAGCCTCTGCACAGAAATGCAGACCCAGAGCCCGAGCCCTGAGCCAAAGGCAGGTGGTTCGGAGCTTATACATCTTGAGAATTCTCCCATGGCCATGTGCGTAGAGAGTGAAGGGGATTTTCATGTCATTCTTTGAAAAGACTTTAGTTTTTCAAATGAATCGCTAAGATGCCTCCTGTCCAGCTCTTGGGCTCTGGGCCTGCCCCGCCCCTGCCCCAGTGCACTGTCCGCTCTGCTGCCCAAGTGAGCTTTCTAAAGTAAAACGGTGACCATGCACCGAATGGCCTTTCTGGCTCCCTAGCGCCTTCGAGACAAGGACTTCTCAGTAGGTCAGAGAGCGCTGGGTCCTGGGCCTCTGCCTGCCTTCCCAGCCTCATCCTGCCCCACCCGTGCCCCATGGTGGAATGGTCTGAATGGAGCCCACTTGTGTCAAGGCCTTCACTGTGTCATTCCCTGGGACCAGAATTCTCTTCCTGTGTCCACTTGGTCAACTTTTAAGCATTCTTCAAGATAGTCTCAAGCACTGGCTCCTCAAGAAAGCTCTCCTGGGCTCCTCCATTTGGTCCAAGTGATGCTCTTTGATGCTCCTAAGAACCCTGCACAAAGCTCTTGGGGTGCCATTGGTCTGCCTTTCTGTGTCTTCCTGTGCCATCCTTGAGGACAGGCTTGCGCTTGGCTCAGTGGAATATGCCCAGTGGCCTGGCACATGCAAGGACTCAGTAAATACCTGTTGAGTAAATGCCCAAGTTAAAGATCAGGAATAGTGTGCAGAGGCCACTGGGTAAAGAGTGCTGGTGTGCAAGTCATGAGACCTGCTAGATTATTCTGAATTGTGCCACTTTGCTGCCCTTGGCAAAGTCATTTCTTTCCCTGGGCCCCATCTGTCTCATCTGTGTTATGAGGGGCTTGAATTAAATGTCTTTTCCCTCTTGAGCTTTGATAATTCCCCCAAAAGAATGAAAGGACACTAATTGTTAGAGTTGATGAGGGATTGGGAACGAGTGTTCCCAGCATGGCCATTGGGAGAGTGAGGTGCAATCACCATGAGGCCACGTGACAATTATTTATTTATTTTTATCCTCACCTGAGGACATTTTTCTATTTTTTGTTCAGATAGAGTGGGAGGGAGAGAGAGGAAGAGAGAGAGAGAGAGAGAGAGAGAGAGAGAGAGAGAGAGAGAGAGAGAAACATGATGTGAAAGGGACACATTGAGTGGCTGCCACCCACATGACCAACTAGGGCAGGGGACAAACTGCAACCGAGGTACATGCCCTTAGCGGAAACCGAACCCGGGTCTCTCTGGACCACAGGCCAATGCTCTAACTGCTGAGCCAAACCTGCCAGGGCAATTTTATTATTTTATTTTTATTTTTTTAAAGAACAGTTTATTGATTTTTAGAGAGAGAGAAAGGAATAAGAGAGAAACATTGATGTGAGAGCATAACATTGATTGGCTGCCTCCTGCACATCTCCCGCCGGGGATCAAGCCCGCAACCTGGGCATGTGTCTTGACTGGGAATCGAACCAGCAACCCTTTGATGATGAGATGATGCTCAACCACTGAGCCACACCAGCCAGGGTGACAATTTATTTTTTTAAGACTTAAAAATGTAAATACCCAAATATGCTGCAATTTTACTTCTAGAACTTCTTGCCTAAGGCTTGGTTGAAGATGTGACTAGAGATTTAACTCCAAGGATGTTGATCCTAGTACTGCTTATAACAGTGAAAATCAGAAACAACCCAAGTATCTAACAAGAGAAGATTACTCAGTAAATCATAGTATTTCATACAAAAATATTATGCAGACATAAAAAATGAATTAAACCTATATTTATTGACATAAAGAGATGTCCAGGCTAAATTGTTAAGTACTGAAAGTAGATTTGTAAAACAATATTTAAAGTCTGTTCTTATCACTATTTAAAATACATATTATGTCTACACATGGGATATCAAATTATGAAATGAGGTTATCAGTGAATGGTGAGATTATGGGAAATTATTTTCCTTCCTGCTTCTTATTTATGTGAAAAACAACAATGAACCTGGGGGAAATTATGCATAAACCTCAATTATAAGTAATTTTGATTTTTTAGAAACTTTTGCTTGTGTTCTATAACTTTCTATGAATGAAAATATATTCTAATAGACACCTCTCCAAACAGGACATACAAATGGCCAAGAGACACATGAAGAAATGCTCAACATCACTAATCATCAGAGAGATGCAAATTAAAACAACTATGAGGTATCACCTCACACCTGTCAGAATGGCCGCCATCAACAAATCATCAAACAACAAGTGTTGGCGAGGGTGTGGAGAAAAGGGGACTCTAATACACTGCTGGTGGGAATGCAGACTGGTGCAGCCGCTGTGGAAAACAATATGGTGCTACCTCAAAAAATTAAAAATTGAACTTCCATTTGACCCAGTGATCCCACTGCTGGGAATATACCCTAAGAAGCCTGAAGCACCAATCAGGAAGAATATATGTACGCCCATGTTCATAGCAGCACTATTTACAATAGCTAAGATCTGGAAACAGCCCAAGTGTCCATCAGTAGACGAATGGATCAAAAAGCTGTGGTACATATACACAATGGAATACTATGCAGCGGTAAGAAAGAAAGATCTCTTATCCTTTGAGACGACATGGAGGGACCTGGAAGGTATTATCCTAAGTGAAAGAAGCCAAGCAGAAAAAGACAAATACCACATGATCTCACTTATATACGGAATATAATGAACATAACAGTCTGAGGAATACAGTAGACCCAGACACATGGAAGTAGGGCACAGACTGACATCCCTCAGAAGAGGGGATGGGGGGTGGGGGGGTGGGAAGAGATAAACCACAGAACTTATATGCATGTATGCATGACCAATGGATATGGACAACTAAACCGGGGACAGGGTGGAGGGGGGGGGGTGCCAATGGGGTAAAAAGGTAAAATATCTCTAACAAAAAAATAAATAAATAAATAAAAATTCAAAATTAAAAATATATATATATATATATATATATATTCTAAGATTTGTAAAAGTATTTTCAAAAGTCTATAAAATTGTAGAAACTGATTCACAAAGAGTCGCTTGTCCAGGTTCACACCTAGCCAGCCACTGGCAGAGCAAGCCTGGAAGAATGGCTTCTCTCTCGAGGGCCCCGGGGCTCCACTTCCCAGTGGGATCTCTGGGTACACTGCAAAGGTGTTCTGGGTGTGTTGCTGTCCCTTGATCCTTGGCTAAGATGTGGTCTGGGCATAGAAGACAAGAGTGAGGGCAGGCAGGTAGCCGGAGTAGGAGGTGTGGCTAGACCAAACAGGACACGGGTACCGTGGTTGGCATGTGCCCAGCCTGATTAGGTTCCCGGGAGGTGGACGAACATAGTCATTAGTCCTAGGGTACTTCTCCTGCCTGAGAATGGCAACCTCTTTGCCAGCCTTCTTCAAGGGAGAAACTTCCCCCTCACTATGTCAGAATGAGCCTAAAGTTTAACCCTAGTCCTCCTAATTGCAGTGATCTTGTCCCAGAGAGGCCTTGGGCTACATCGCCCAACTGACCACTAACCACAACCAGCCCTGTTCTGTCTGGTTCCTGATATCTGAGAGCAGATGGCAGGGGTGTTGAATGCAGCCCCCTACCAAAAGCCAAGAAGAAAGGGGAGGAAAAGAGGGATAGAGGAAGTTACCTTAGTCCTGAGCCCGTAGCCCCCAGAGTCCTCTTTCCTGTGAAACCCAACGGTCTCCAGCCAGATTTCCTGTGCCTTTATCCCTTACCAAGAATGGGTAGCTGCCCACCAGGACTAGCCTCAGGGACAATGTCACTGGTGTGTGGGGGGAGGGGACAGCCCCCTGAGGTTGATCAGATTATCATCATTCCAGGTCTCCCCCTTACCTTCCCTCCTCCTCTGGGGTTTCTCTAGCCATAATTGTTTAGGCTGTTGGTTCTTGAGTTTTGACCCTTTCAAAGGAACTTGGTTTAATCAGAATTTGGGGAGAGGAGTTAGTTGTCTATACCCCCTAGGGGAAGCACTGGTCTAGGCACACAATAGGGAGAGTAACTCTGGGGACAGTTCTGGACCTTCTTTTCCTGCCCCCCTCTCCCATATCAGGGACCTCTTTCCTGGTCTCCCAACCCCAGTGGGGGAGGAGGGAGTTCAGTCTCTAGGGGCGGGCCTCCCCTGCCCCATCCCCTCCCCTGCCCCATCCCCTCCCCCAGCTTGGAGGACATAAAAGCCTAGATTCAGCTGGGAGGTGCTGCCAATGCTAGGTGAACTTCAGAAGTGAGGTCCTGGGGGTTGAGTGACTGAGGCTAGCAAAGGAGGAGCACTGTGGACTCCTCCCTCAAGGAGGCCTGGGCTCACACCATAGGTAGGGCCCGCTGAGGTGGGACTGGGGTATGAAGGTGTGAGCGAAGGGCTGGGAGGAGAGGGATGGTGGGGTTCTCTTCTTCCTAATGCACTGTGAGCTTTGGGCACTTACTGGGCTTGGGTCTTGTTGTAGAGATGAAGCTGCTCCTGGCCCTGACAGGGCTCCTGGCCGTTCTGGCTGGGCCCCGGCCCTCTGAGGCTGCTGCTCCAGGTAACAGTTTAGAAGGAAGGAAAGGTGCTACCTTGTGGGTGGTTCTGGGTTCTAGGGGCTCCTTCCTCAGTGAAGGCCATCCTGGCTCAGGGGCCTCGTGGGAAGGCGGGTGCTTTGGGCCCAATCCTACCTTGTGACCTCTATTCTGGGCAGCTGCCCTGGGGGAGGTGGACACCTCGGTGGTTGTGACCTGCATGGAGGAGGCGAAGCGGCTAGTAGACAAGGCCTACAAGGAGCGGCGGGAGAGGTGGGTGCCTGGCACTGCTCAGCTCTGGGCAAACCTGCCCAGGCCTTTCAGAAAAGGAGCAGGCATGGGGAGTGGGGCGGGCCCTCTTTCTATGTCAGTCTCTGTGCGAGAACATCTTCAAAACCGCGCCTCCCCTGGCCTTGCCTCTGTCGACACTGTCCTGTGTGCCCATCTCCTGGGCTGGGGCTCTGCTGAGTGTCTCTGCCCACTTTCTCTGCTACTCCTCCCTTCTCCAAGCAGCATCAAGCAGCGGCTTCGCAGTGGCTTGGCCAACCCCATGGAACTCCTGTCCTACTTCAAGCAGCCAGTGGCAGCCACCAGGACAGCTGTGAGGGCTGCTGACTATTTGCATGTGGCCCTAGGCCTGCTGGAAGGGAAGCTGTGGCCCCTGTTGTCAGGGCCCTTCAATGTCACGGGTACCGTTGCCCCTACAACCCCAAACCCTGCTCCACTAGCGACCCCTCCAAGCGACCCTACCACATCCCAGTGACTCCCCCCAATTCCTCCTTCCAGGGAGCTTCAGCGACATCGAGTTTCCCCTCCATGTCCTCAGACTGCCCCCAACCACGGCTTCTCAGCCTAGGATAGGAAGTGGGGGAGGAGGGGTTCGGGTCCCACACCCTTCTTTCCCCTGCTTGCAGACGTGCTGACTCCCGCCCAGCTCGATCTGCTGTCCAAGTCCAGCGGCTGCGCCTACCAGGACGTGGGGGTGAGATGCCCCGAGCGGGACAAGTACCGCACCATCACCGGGCAGTGCAACAACAGGTGTGCCTGGCGTGGGGCGGACCCTCCGCTTGCGGGCGGCTCGGGGCAGCGTCCCGGTCCCTGGCCCGCCCGTGGCGCCACCTCGGGTCAGCATGCCGTCCTCATCATGCAGACGCAGCCCCACGCTGGGGGCCTCCAACCGCGCCTTTGCGCGCTGGCTGCCGGCAGAGTACGAGGACGGCTTCTCGCTGCCCTACGGCTGGACGCCCGGGGTCAAGCGCGGCGGCTTCCCGGTGCCCCTGGTGAGCACTGGCCGGCAGCGGGCGAGGCGGGCGGCGGCGCCGGGCAGCCCCTGACGCTGCGTGTCCCGCAGGCTCGCGCCGTCTCCAACGCCATCGTGCGCTTCCCCACGGAGCAGCTGACGCAGGACCAAGAGCGTTCGCTCCTGTTCATGCAGTGGGGCCAGCTGATTGATCACGACCTCGACTTCACTCCTGAGCCGGCCGCCCGGGTCGCCTTTATCAGTGGTCTTAACTGCGAGACCAGCTGCTTGCAGCAGCCACCCTGCTTTCCCCTCAAGGTGCTCACTGCTTCCCGCCCAGCCACGGCCTGCGGGGTGGGGAGAGTGGACGTCATTCCTGCAAGTGGGCCCCTCCCTCTGTGCCCAGATTTCCTTCCCTAGCTCCCTGGTAAGGTTGGCTCTGACCCTCCGCATCTGCTGAGGGTCTTCCTTCAAACCTGAGTGTGGGTACTCCGTGCCAAGTCCTCTTTTCTCCCCACACGGGGGCATCGTCCCAGCAGCCCAGTTACAACCAGCCTGGGTTGTGGGGCTGCATGGAGCAGGGCTGAGGGGGGCTGGTTTGAGCAGGGAGAAGAGAAGAGAAGGGAGAAGAATCTGAGGGAAAGATGGGGCCGGAGTGAGAGGCAGGAAAGGGACAGGGAGGAGGGAGACCAGAACAGGAAAGGGAAAAGAAGAGGAGTCTGAGGGAGGAGCAGACACAGCAGAGAAGTAGTGAGACGTAGGAGTTTTAGGGGGGAAGGCCCGAGGACGGGTGGGTTCACCTCCAAGGAGCCCCACGTTCCTCAGTCCAGCATTCTAGCTTCACCCCCGAAGCTCAGAGGCACTCTGCAGGTGGAGCCTCGGACAGTGATCCCTTGTGGGCCTTGAGAAGCCTCCCTGTAGTCTGAGGAAGCCAGGAGTCCCGAGGAACCCCATTTTGGTATCTGGGTCTCCCCCTCTGGTCCTGGGCTGCAGGCTGCTTCCCAGGTGTGATCAAGGCCTTCAGGAGGGTGGACTGGGAGAGAGCCAGTCCTGCCCACTGTCCCTGCCTTGGCGAGCTGGCTTGGCCTTCCTCTGTGCCGCAGATCCCACCTAATGACCCCCGCATCAGGAACCAGCGAGACTGCATTCCGTTCTTCCGCTCCTGCCCTGCCTGCACAGAGGGCAACATCACCATCCGCAACCAGATCAACGCCCTCACCTCCTTCCTGGACGCCAGCATGGTGTACGGCAGCGAGGAACCCTTGGCCAGGAAGCTTCGCAACCTGACCAACCAGCTGGGGCTACTGGCCATCAACAAACGCTTCACTGACAACGGCCGGGCGCTGCTGCCCTTCGACAACCTGGACGATGACCCCTGCCTCCTCACCAACCGCTCCGCGGGCATCCGCTGCTTCCTGGCAGGTCAGACCTGGGCAGGGGCCTGGGATGGCATAGGGGTGCTCCCTGCTGGACCCACAGCGGGCCTATTTGTAAGCAACTTGTGCCCTCACCAACTTTGTGATATTGATCCAGGTGACAAGTTGGGTGGAGCCAGAAAGGAAAAAAACAAAAACTCAAATCTAAGAGACTCGGGGATGGTTGAGGAGCCTCTGTCCATCCCTTTCTATGTCTCTATCTTTCCCTCTGGATTCTGGCAAAGAGGAGAGTAGAGTCCCTCAGGGGCAGGGAACTAAAGAGAGAGAGAGCACATCTTGAACAACATCTTCAATTAGGTAGCCACTAGCCACATGTGGCTCTTTGCACTTAAATTTAAGTTAATTTAAATTAATGTATATTAAAAAGTCAGTTTCTCCACTGCACTAGCCACATTTCACATGCTCAATAGCCCCATAGGCTAGTGGCTGCCATGGGGCAGCTCGACTATAGAACAATTTCGTCGATTCAGAAAGTTCTGTTGAGCAGTGCTGCTCCGAATATCACCTCCTGCCCATCTTAGTTCCTATAGTAAGAGAGGGTGGGAGTTTACATTTAAACAGCTGGCAGCCCTGACGATACCACTGGGGCAGTGACGGTGCCCATGCTCAGAAATTTTCCACATGTTTTTATTTTTTTCACTGGGTCTCTTAATTGTCTTTAAAATTTTGTTTTTTGATTACAGTTGACATTCATTATTATTTTATATTAATTTCAGGTGTACAGCATAGTGGTTAGACAATTGTATAATTTACTCCAATTTTTTTCCTTCTAAATGTGTTTTTATTGATTTTTAATTTGTTTTTAGCGAGAAAGGAGAGAGAAACAATGATTGGCTGCCTCCTGCACGCCCCCTACTGGGGATCGAGCCCGAAACCCGGGCATGTGCCCTGACCGAGAATCAAACCTGGACCTCTCGGTTCATGGGACAATGCTCAATCCACCAAGCCACACTCCAGTGTTTTTTTCATGTACACTCAATAGTGGGCCTGAGGCCCTTCCCTCTGACCTCCCAACCTCTCCTCCTGGTGGCCTCTAGCGGCGGATCCCTGGGGAGGAGATTCAAGGTCAGTGCCAAGTGTGGACTTTTGTGGGCCAGTGAGGGAAGAGCTGCACTCCTCAGCCAGGCTTGGCTGCCTCCAGCCTGGTGTTGGCAAGCTGCCTATCCCAGACCTGAATCGTATGACCTCTGGCAGCTCATAGGATGGAAAAGCTGTTCTCATGGCATTTCCTTTCCACCAGCTTCTAGAGCTGGTGGATACTAAACCCCTTGTTCTGCTGAAATGGGCCTCAGGCCCTTCCAGAGAAGGATTGGGGGAGGACTAGAGGGATCAGAGGTCTAACTCAGTTTTTTGTTTAACAGTCTAGGTATGGACTTTAAACATCCTGTGCCTTAGCACCCCTCCCCTGAAAAGTCTACACAATCAGCATGGAGTAAGGGTGGGGATGGCAGCTCTGATCAGATGGGAGTGGCTTTCTAGAGTCCTGTGTTGAGAAGGATTCTGAGGTTGCATCCAATTTTAGCAAAAGAGTGCTGTGATCTTTGGCTGTGCCTGACATGGGCATGGGAGTAGGGAGTGCCAACATGCACGCTACCTTTTGGCTTTCCCTGAATCAAGGGAATAAGCCCACCAGGAAATGTTCACGGCTCTCCTAGTTTGGACCAGGCACTGTGTTAAACCTATGTTTGTCTGTATGTGTGGGTTGGGTGAGAGGGTCAGATATAAAAAGGCAAAAACAGCAAGTCTTGTTCTCAAGGAGATCCCAGTCTCAGGTATGGGAAGGTGGCAAGGTGTATGTCAGATCTGATACCTATTGAATAAACGCCTCTGACCAGCAGTGCCCCTAGACCAAGGAAGAAGCTGCTGTGGTGGACCAGGAGATCCAGGCAGGGGAGGTGTAACATGAACATGGTGTGGAAAGATGGGTGGAGAGGTGGGCTAGGTAGGAGGCATTTCAGGGAAGGGAGTTTCAATGGAGCAAATCCTTTCTGGGATGAAGGTCTTAGGAGTGACGGTAGCTTTTGCTTTCCTAAGGGGACTCCCGCTCCAGTGAGATGCCCGAGCTCACCTCCATGCACACGCTCTTTCTGCGGGAGCACAACCGTCTGGCCACAAGGCTCAAACGCCTGAACCCCCGCTGGAATGGAGAGAGGCTCTACCAGGAAGCCCGGAAGATCGTGGGAGCCATGGTCCAGGTAGGCAGCCCTGAGCATCAGTGATGCCAGGGCAGAATTGGGATCCAAACATGCCTCTGCCACATCCTGGCTGTCTGACCTTGGGCAGCCTCACCTCATGAGCCTCAGTTTCTTCATCCATGATGCTGTTAAGAGTAAAAGACATTATGAAAACACCTGGCAGGTACTGAAAGCCTGATGAATGTTGCTTAGGTCCCATCTTCTCTCTCCCAGGCTTGCTCCCCTCTCTGCTCTTCTGTCTATTGGGACTGGGATTGGGAGGGTTACATTGCTGGGTCTAAAGTGTCTGGTGCATAGTAAGCTGTCCAATAAATGCCTCTCCTTCATCTCGTTGCCACTCTTGGCTCCTTTACCCACTCACCTGTTCTTTTGACTATCATAGCTCACCCCATCTCCTTAACCTCGTTTATCCCTGGGCAGTGTGCCTGGTTCCCCCTCCCAACCTTTGATGCTCCAGCACCCTCACCCTCTCCTAAGACACACACACACACACACACACACACACACACACCTTTTAAAAACTCTGGAGGGGGAGAAAGTTGCAGGTGTTGAGGTTGAGTTTTTGAGTTGCACTAAGAACTTAAGTGAGATTCATTTAAGACTCAGAGGAAATTCCAGAGTCTAGAATCTAGAATGAGACTGTTCTCTATCATCTAGGGTGGCCCTTTTCCTTCTTGCCTATCCTCTTTCCACAGACATGTATTTGTTTGTTTGTTTGTTTCTGTTTTGTTGTTGTTGTTGTTGTTGTTTTTAATCCTCACCCAAGGATATTTTTCCATTGATTTTCTTAGAGTGGTAAGGGGGGGCGGGGATCGAAGGGAGACAGACACATCTGTTTCTTGCCTCCTGCATGACCCCGACAGGGGCGCAGATCAAACCTGCAACTGAGGTACATGCCCTTGACAGGGAATCAAACCCACGACTCTCTGGTCCGTGGCCTGATGCTCTAACCACTGAGCAAAACCAACCAGGGCCACAGTCGTGTATTGAACCCTACATGAGCCAGGTACTTCCTGGGCACTGAGTAATTCCAAGAGAAAGGAGATAGGAGCATTGCCCTCAAGGAGCTTATGTTAGTAGGAGAAATGAGATGCTGATAACTCAAAGTCAAAGGAGCTATCAATGACTAACAAAGCCCTTTGTTATTTAATTCTCTAAGGCAAAGGGCAGCATCTTTACTCTTAATTTACATTTGAGGAACTGGGGCTCAGAGAGGTTAGTAACTTGCCCAAGGTCACACAGCAGTCAAGAGCTCTGGTTATGCCCCTTGGTGCTAGCTACTCTGTTAGACAGAGATTCTATGCTGTGGGAGGTAGTTTCCTGGTCATAGAGAGATGGGAGGGATCCCTTTAGCCAGAAGCAGGTGGAGACTCTGCAGGGAGGGGTGAGTGGAGAGGCCACTCTGGGTGACTTTTCTTTAGATCATCACGTACCGGGACTACCTGCCGCTGGTGCTGGGGCCAGAGGCCATGAGGAAGTACCTGCCCAAGTACCGCTCCTACAATGACTCAGTGGACCCTCGAATCGCCAACGTCTTCACCAACGCCTTCCGCTATGGCCACACCCTCATCCAACCTTTCATGTTCCGCCTGGACAGTCGGTATAAGCCCGTGAGGTCCAACCCCCGTGTTCCACTCAGCAGGGTCTTTTTTGCCTCGTGGAGGGTTGTGCTGGAAGGTGAGCAGGACCTAGGCCAGGAGAGAGTGGGCTGGCAGCTGGAGGTGGGGTAGGGGTGGGTTTGGCCACAGGGAGCCAGGCCAGGAGAAATTCCCCTTCTTTCCATTTTTGGGGATCTGATCTGACTTTCCAGCCTCAGTTCACCTGGCTCTGCTTCTACATCTAACAATAAAGAATGGGGTGGCCCTGACTGGTTTGGCTCAGCAGTAGAGTGTTGGCCCTCGGACCAGTGAGTTGCAGGTTCAATTCCAGCCAAGGGCATGTGCCTCAGTTGAGTTGCCATTCGTCCCTGGTCCTGGTCAGGGTCATGTGGGAGGCAACCAGTCGATGTGTCCCTCTCACATAGATGTTTCTCTCCCTCTCCCTTTCTCTCCCTCTCCCTCCCTCCCACTCTATCTGAAGATAAATAGAAAAATATCTTCGGGTAAGGATTAAAAAAAAAGAATGGGATGGAGATGGCCCACAGGGAGCTGGCTACTTGCTGTGTTTTGTGACTCTGTGAACCAGGGGGTGAGGGATGTTGGGAGCACCCTGACCCTGAAAATCTGAAGGACATAATCCCCTGAGACCTTGATGTCCCGGTGAGGACCTTCCCATTGGGGCCACCTTGTACCAGGAGCTGTATAAGCCCAGCCCTCTTCTGCAATCCCCTGACCCTACCTTGGACTTATCCCTGATTCTTATATGAACTCTGATACTGAGCCAGATCCTCCCCTCAACCTTGCTCCTCTTGTCCCCAGGTGGCATTGACCCCATCCTCCGGGGCCTCATGGCCACTCCTGCCAAGCTGAATCGCCAGAACCAAATTGTGGTGGATGAGATCCGGGAGCGGCTGTTTGAGCAGGTCATGAGGATCGGGCTGGACCTGCCTGCTCTAAACATGCAGCGTAGCCGGGACCATGGCCTCCCAGGTGAGGGGCTGCAGGATGCTCCTCCCCACCCCCTCTCCAGGGCCCCAGCTGCCCAAGACTTACCCCAGCCCCAGCACCTTGGTCTTAAGAGTCGGTCTGAGGTCAGGCACTTACCTCTCCCTGGGCCCACCTGGTCCATTTTCAGCAATCCCTGGCTTCTTCCACATTGCTGTAACCCTTAAACTGGAAGCGTCATCCTCACAACAACAAGCCCCCTACCTCCACAGTCTGAAAATCAGTGTCCATCATTATTTCATTTGGCTTCATTTTACGTGAACTCTGAGGGGAAGAGAGTATTATCACTCGCATTTCACTGGTGAGGAAAGCGAGGCTTGCACAGATTCAAGGACTGCCGGGCTTCTCCAGCCAAGTCGGTGGCAGAGCTGGGACTCGAACTCAGATCAGCCTGACCTCACAGCCTGTGCCTGTGTAATGTGACAGCCAATGTGGTTGAGCCTTCTAGACACACTTTGCCCTTCACCGGTCTGAGATCTCCAAGGGGAACCATGAGGTGTCCCTATTTTTGGACCTGACAGGAGTTATGGCATTTTAGGATTTGCCTTAGGGTGGGAGGGCAAGGGAGAGACAGAGAGGGTCCCGAGAAGACTCAGGTATTCCTTTGGCCTGGGCCAAGGGTTCAGGTTTCCCTCGAGGTTTATAGCCTGGGAGAAGCCCTCTGTGTCCTCCTCTCCCTCCTGTGACTCTGTACATGGCCTTGGTGTATTGGGAAGGAGCATTTTCTAAGATGCACCCACAGCCAACTCTCCCCTCCCTCCACGCAGGGTACAATGCCTGGAGGCGCTTCTGTGGGCTGCCACAGCCCCAAACAGTGGGCGAGCTGGGCACAGTGCTGAAGAACCAGGAGCTGGCGAGGAAGCTGATGCAGCAGTACGGTACACCCAACAACATTGACATCTGGATGGGCGGCGTGGCCGAGCCTCTGAATGCCAATGGCCGTGTGGGCCCGCTCCTTGCCTGCCTCATCGGGACCCAGTTCAGGAAGCTCCGTGATGGCGATCGGTAAGGAGGCAGGTGGAGTGGTCCGGGCACACCGTGTGGCCCTTGGCCTGTCCCGAATCTCTTGGGTCCTCAACTTTTTCCAGTGAAATCTAGGGCTGGAAGGAATCCGTGGCTTCCCAGTATGTTCCAGGGAGCCTCAAGGTTGTCCCTCATGTGCTCTGAACCTGTTGGGGGAGGGACCCCCTACAATGACTCAGTGGGAAAACAGAGAAAATGCCACTCTACTTCTCCGTGCTTCAGGTTCAACCACGGTGCTGTCAGTCACTAATGAACAGCCCACCCTCGCTTCCCCAGCGAAATGTCACCTGCCATGCCTAGTTCTCACCTAGCCTGTATTGTGCCTTTGGGGAGATTAGAAAAAGGTGTCCCTCTCTGGGTGGACAGATTGTAAACACTCTGATTCTCTCCACCCTCATGGGTACCACTTGGGACAGGGCCCGGGCTTCCTGAGCAAGTCTGGGCTCAGCTCCCTGTCCAGTGTTAGCAGTGCCCGAAGGCCGCTGGAGTGAGGGCATCTGGGTAGCTGGGCTTTCGTCTGTGCATTGTTTGAAAACCTCTGGCTGTCTGGGGGCCTGGAGCTCTTCTGTGCTGTAGGGCCGTGTCTGCTGTGGTTCTCTTGCATCCAGGGAGTGGCTCAAGCCAGGTGATGCCCTCCCCGCCCAGGGGCGCGCAGGTGTGATGTCCATGGGTGTTCCCATGCAGGTTTTGGTGGCAGAACAAGGGCGTATTCAGCACGCAGCAGCAGCAGGCCCTGGCCAAGATCTGCTTGCCGCGCATCATCTGTGACAACACGGGCATCACCACCGTGTCCAAGAACAACATCTTCAGGTCCAACACATTCCCTCGGGACTTTGTCAACTGCAGTACACTCCCCACGTTGGACCTGTCTTCCTGGAGGGAGAGGGACTAGAGGCTGGGTAAGGGGTGCAGCCGTGAGGTGAAGGCTGGGCACACCTGGGCTGGCACCTGCAGCCACAGATCTCCCCTCCCTAGGCGAGCCCACCCGTTTTGAGAGCCGGCCGAGAAAATGAATGACTAGCCATTCATTCATATGTGTGTGTGAGCATGTGCAGTGTGCATACTGTGCATTATGTGTGTGTTATCTGTAGACGTGGGTAGCGTGTTGTGTGCTGTGTATATGTGTCATTTATGTGAGTGTCTGTTTGCTGTTTCTGTCAGTACTAAGTGTATGGAAGCAGCAGAGCACACTGGCGAGGAGCACAAGCTCCGGAGCTGGACCGCTTGGGTTCAAGTCCCTGCTCTGCAGCTTACCAGCGGTGCGACCTTGAACACATGGCTCAACCTTGCTGAGCCTGGGTTTCCTTCTTTGTGAATAACAAAGAACAGCTGCTACTACAGGGGTCATGGCTCCTTACAGGGCTTGTTTGCATCTTCTAGTTCTTTGATTATGGAGCACTTACTATCTGTCAGGCACTGTGGTAAGCATGGGAAACAGAGAAAGTCAGACAGTTTCTCCCCCCTGGAGCTTGCGCCTTGACATGTCCTGGTTAGCGAGGCTGAACCCGGGACCCCTGGAAGAATGGCCGTCAGCAGTTGGGCTGTGTGTGGAGGTTGAGTTATGGGCTGAGAGGAACCAGGCTCAATCCGCGGCTCCCTTTTTGCTTCCTTACCCTGTTCTCTTGCTTATTCACAGGAGCTGCCTGGAGAGGAACTGGGGCACATTGGCTCTTTTGTACCATTTGTTTGTACCTGACATCAATGACAATAAAGTAGCACTGATGGGGATCTTTACTCTGTGTCTGCTGTGGGACTAATCTCAACATGAGGCTTGCTCTGAGCTCTGAACTTGAACCAGCATGGTCTGTGCCTCAGGGCCCTATGTTTTCTGAACTGGGGGTGAGGGTATCCGGGAGTCTTCCTATGCTGATCCTTACAAAGGAGACAGTCAGTTCTCAGAAGCCTAGGGGCCAGGCCAAACCGAGCACACCGTCCTCCCTCACCTTCTACAGCGCCTGGAGAACAGGAATTGTGCCCACCAAGTTCTCACGTTCACTCATTGCTCTAGTAAATATCTGCTCCACGCTCCCGCTACACGTCAGGCTGTGTCAGGTGCCGGGAAATAGAAGGGACAAAACGCAGAGGTGTGATGGGAAGGTACCTCTGGATTCTGCATCTCTGCAGCCTGGTTCAGGGCCCTCACACAGTAGACTCCTCCTCAGTCCTGGCTTACGTGACCAGAGCTGAGGCCGGGAAGGAGGGTATTTCCCTATTGCCTGGAGTGTGACTCCTCTAATCTGAAAGATGGATTCCCCCCTACCTAAATTCCAGCATTCAGGGAGGAGCACCCGCAACTGGGAGCCTGAAGGGCTGTATGATGCTAGAATCAATGAACCCATAGGAGCTCCGGGCCACATCAGGGCCTCACCAGAGCAGGATGAATACCATGTATCTTCAGTTCACTGATGCTGGGCATGGTGCTTTGAGATGTGGAGGGGCTTATCCGAGGCCTTGAAGAAGTGGGTACCAGAGCCAGGGCTGCAGCCCAGGTCTCTGGCTTCTGGACTTTTCCTACAAGATGGTTAAGTGCCTCCTACCCCCACCCCCACCCCACTGGTCAGGGGACCTGGAGGCCCTGGGCTGGGCTGACTTTACCCAGAGAGTCATTTCCAAAGAATACATGAATATGTGTTGGTTAGCAGCACGAGGAATATTCTGGAGATGCCCCTTTAGGGGACTCCCAGGTTCCAAGGTCTACCTAGAAAAAGAGGGTATTTCCCAGAAAGGCCTCTGGAAGGGAAACTAACTCTAGCTGTAGGGGAATGCAGGCTTGGCTTTCCTCCCTGTTTGATCCCTTGGCATTACCCCAGCTCCTCCCTCTTGCCTTTGTATGGCCATTGCTTCTTTTCTCGGGAGCCCCCTTGCCTCCTCCTTTCCTGAAGAACTCTGAAATTCCGCCAAACCATGTCCTCTCACCCCACAGACCCGTGCACACCTCTTAGTGGTGAAACTGTAAATATCTCATTACTTAATTGGCAGTGATTCCAAGGCCTGCCTTCCGGGAGGGAACAGTGTCACTGCCAGCATCTTCAGTCGATCATCAGATGTTTATTGAGGGCTTACTGTGCGCCAAGCACCTTGCTGGGTGGCACGGGAGACCCTCAGAAGCGGGTCAAGTCCCTGGTCCAAGGAACTTACAATCTAATTGAGAAGAAAGGAAGAAAGATAAGGGTGCAAAGGCAAAAGCCTCAGCCAAGACTGGTTCCAGGGACAGGATGGGTGACATCTGGCAAGCTAGACTGGAAGGGCATCCCAGCAGGTCTGCGTCATGACAAATGAGGATTTCCCGGCAGGGGGATGAGAGCGTGGATTTCGAGTGGAAGAGCTGGGGCGGCCGAGGCGCTGGCCCTGGGCTTGCGTGGGTATGCATTTGGCAAGTGTAGCGAGACCTGGCTGAAAAGAAGGGCTGGGACAGGGTGTGGAGGACTCAGGGACTGGTCACCGACACTGCTTGAAATGGCATCATGGACCAAAGGGAGATTTCCTGCAGTGTGGGAGCCTCTAACTCCCCACTGAGGCCCAGGGTGAGAGGTCCAGCTTATCAATGGTAGAGCAGTCCACAAAGTCCTGGGGGTAGCTGTTGGCCTGGAATGGGTTCAGCGGGACCTTGGTGATGTGGGTGTTGTCACAGACCAGGCGTGAGAAGGACATTTTCCGTAGAGAGTCCCGCTGTTTCTCAGTGAAGACCCCAGGGTTCTCCCACCAGAACCTGCAGAAACAGAAGCAGTCTCTCCATACAGCCCAGCTATTGGCCCTTTCCCGCTCCGCCAAAGGGGAAGGAAGGAGGTCACTGGGAAAGGAACATGCTGAGGTCTGGGTTAGTCCTCAAGCAGGAGGTGGAGATACCCACCTGGGGAAGGGTCTGCCCTCCCATGCCCTCCCACGGAGGTTTCACTTGCCTGTCTCCATCTCGAACCTGCTGGAACTGTTTCCCCAAGAGGCAGGCCAGGAGGGACCCCACCCGGCCCCTTTCTACCAGTGGCTCAGCAGAGCCCCCAATCCAGATGTCGATATTGCTCGGCGTCCCATAGAGATCCAGCAGCTTCTTAGCCAGCATCTTGTTCTTCAGCACAGCGCCCAGCTCTGCCAGTGTCTGGGGCTGCGAGAGGTCACAGAAGCCTCGCCAGGAGTTATACCCTAGGACCAAGACGCTGAAGATGTCTCATCCAGGGGACTACCCTTGGGGACAGGCCCACTCCAGCTCCCTCTGTGCCAGAATGCATAGACTCGTAGCTTTGGGGATGGGGTTCCACTGTCTTCTACCTGTGGTACTTCGGTCACAAGAGGGCTAGGTTAGGTGGGTCCAGGACCTATTCTAAGCACAGATGGAAACTGAAGAACAGAGATGTTAAGTAACTAGAAATGGCACAGGAGGAATTTGAACCCAGGTAGTCTGGCTTTTAATTATAACATTAAATTGCCTTTCCTAGCTGAAAAAAAAAGGCCCCGTAGTCATCAGTTTCTCTCTATTCTCTTCTTAATTTTTTTCTGGGCTTTCAAACTGGTTTTACAAGTCAGTTGGTGATCTCTTTTTCATTTGAAGAACTCCAAGATGGTACTAGATATATTCTCCTATCTCTACATTAAGGAAAATGGAAAATTCTATTTCAGAGATGAGCATTTGAGTTTTAAAAATTGGTATCTCTGCCTTGTGCTTTAGAATTGATCAGATCCTCAGGATTGTAGAAAACGAGTCCTCTGAAACCCCAGAAAGTAGCTAAAAGTTCCCCAGGCGAGCCTGGCTGGTGTGTCTCACCCACACACCAAGAGGTTGCCGGTTCGATTCCGGTCAGGGCACCTGCCCAGATAGTGGGCGGATCCCCAGGGGGGGGCATGCAGGAGGCGGCCAATCACGTTCCCTCTCATTGATGTTTCTCGCTCCCTCTCCCTTCCTCTCTCTCTAAAATCAATAAAGAAAAAAAAAATGTTTTTAAATTTCCCCAGGCCAGACGCAGGCCCACTCACCAGGCATCCCGTGGTCCCGGCCTCGCTGTATGTTAATGGCAGCCAGGTCAAAGCCATGGATTCTGTGAGTGGGTTGGAAGAGCTTGTTGCGCAGCTCTCCTGTCATCATTTTATTCTGCTTCATCAACTTGGACTTCTTGGCCAGCAGGCCCCGCACCAGAGGGTCGATTCCACCTGCAAGGAAGACCATCCTGGGGATGAGGGGCGGGCGGGGACATCTTCCACTACTGGTCCCTCCCTCCACTAGACATTTTCTCTCAGGTGAAACTCGGGCCAATGGAACATCTCAGGCTGGAAGTGGGGGGAGAGAAGCACAGTGCAGCCTGCAGGGGGAGGGGCAGTCCAGACTCCTGCTTAGCAGGTAGAAGAAAGGGCCATTCATGAGACAGTGGCATGAAGATAAACTTCAGGGACTTGTTTTTTTGTTTTTGTAATCCTCACCCTAGGATTTGTTTTTCACTGATTCTAGAGTGAGAGGGAGGAAGGGGGGGGAGGGAGAGAGAGAGAGAGAGAGAGAGATCTATGTGAGAGAGAAATATCAGTTGGCTGCCTCACACATGTGCCCTGGCTGGGGATCAAACTTACAACCTGGGTATGTGCCCTGACTGGGAATTGAACCCATGACCCTTCAGTGCACGGGACAACGATCTAATCACTGAGCACACTGGCTGGGGCAAGCTTCGGGGTTTTTCCTGAGTCTAGTTCAGAGAGTTGGCTCCTTCTACTTCCCTTGAGGAATGTTGCAGCATGGGAAGAGGTAGCAGACATCTATAGAAAATGGCCCTGACTTGTCAGGTCTTAATTAAAGCCCGTTTCAACACAGCCTAGTCCAGGGTAAAGCGAAGCTGGGTCCAACCTTTGGCACTTAATGGAGGTGGAAAGCCCTAGAGGGGAGTAGAGAAGAGCAGTTTACTATCAAACCCATCTCCTTTCTACAGGGATCAGAGAAACCTGGTGCAGGGAAAGGAGGTAGGAAAAACCTGGCGTCTTAGAGACCAGATGAGGAAAGAATAATGACTAGTATTCATTGACCACCTCCCACATGTCAGAACTGTTGCAGGGTGCTCTGCACATATATTAAGTTTTTTGTATACCCTAGTGAGATAGGTACTATTATTGTCCACATTTTACAGCTGAGGAAACTGAAGCCCAATGAGGAGAATTCCCTCGCCCAAGGTCACACAGAAAGTGCCTGGAGTCTGACTTCCAAGGCAGGTTTCCTTAAACCTGGGGGAGCCAGCCAGGTGACAGTGCTTCCCTGAAAGGACTCACCATCTTTGACCATCCTCCAGC